GGTAGGAATGTAGAGTCACTCAACCTCTTTGGAAAATGGTCTGGCAGTTCTTCAGAATGTGAAACATGGAGTTACAATATGACTCAGAAATTCTATTCCTAGGTAATACCTGAGAGAGATGAACTATATGTCCACATAAGAACTTCTACATGTTAATAGCAGTATTATTCATAATAATCCCAAGGTGAAAGTAACCCATATGTCCATCAACTAATGAAACAATAAACAAAGTGTGTTATATCCATACAATGGAATATTATTTGGCAAAAAAAAAAAAAAAAAAAAGAAAAAAAGAAATGAAGTACTTACACATGCAACAACATGAATGAATCTTGAAACCATTATGCTAAGTGAAAAAAAATCCAGTTATGAAAGAGCACATATTGTATGATCTCATTAATATGAAATGTCCAGAATAGGCTCAAATCTACAAATATAAAAAGTAGATTAGTGATTGCCTAGGACTAAAAGTGGAGAGAGAAATGGGGAGTGACTGCTGATAGGTGCATACAGGGTTTCTTTTCGGTAACTAAAGTTTATAAAATTAGATTGTGGTAACAGTTGTAACACCTCTATGAAAACTCTAGAAAGCACTGATTGTGTACTTTAAATTGGTGAATTGTGTAGTCTGTGAATTATATCTCAATATAACTTTTTAAAAACCTTTAAAAAATTAAAGTAGTAAAAACAGGGCAAAATAAGGATACACTTTCTAACATACTAACATACATAATTAAAATATGACATGTTGTTTTCTTTAGCTTCTGTCAACCAAATAATATTTTTCATTAGCTAAAAAATGTTTTTTCTAACATCTTAGTATAACATCTAGGTTATACTTAGGAGTGGAACAGGCAAGTCATTCTATTCAGTTAGATTTTTAATAACTGTGCTTACTTTGGTGTTACAAATTCTAAAACTGAAGCAATATAAGAAATGTTTAGCATGTTTTTTTTTTGCAAGGATACATGTACCTCAGTTCATGTATCCTTGCAAAAACCTAAATTTATTGAAGAAAATAAGAGAAGACCTGAATAAATGTATATAGATGTGAAAATCTAATAATGTAAAGATAGCCATTCTCTAAAAATAAAATAGTGTCCCAGTAAAAATCATAGCAGAACTTTTCCTATAACTTTATAATAACTTATTCTAAAATTTATAAATGAGAATAAAGGTGCAGTAATATCAGTTCACTGCCCTGCCCCGCCCCCGCCCCCACCCAAAGAGCATTTAATAGAGTAGAGGACTTACCCCACTGACATATAAAGAAAGCCATGATAATGAAAATTATGTTACAGGTTCAGAGAGAGGCAAATATGTGTACGAAACAAAATAGTTTCTGGAAACAGACCTGTGCAACATATGGAAAATTGCCCTGTGTTACAGAGATTGCAGTATTATTCAACAAGTGAGCATATAAAAATTATAGAATGAAGAAATGTCAAAAATTTATTTATCAGTGAGGAAATCAGCAATATAGTAAAACTAGTTCCAAGAGTACTTGGAGAACTGAAGAAAGAATGTTGGAATAGATTTGTTTTATATAAAGCTGGCTAATCTCCTACAAGGCAATAAAACCGTATCCTTACCAGACAGAAATTATTTGCATATTTATTAGAGGAAAAAAAAGTCTACAAGTTAATGTGTAATTTTACAGAGTATAGGCCTCAATCAATACTAAGTAGCAAATCAAAGTATCTCCCCTAGAGAATGAAATATTCCTTGGGTGGGCCTTTTAGAGAATGATGGCATTGAAAGGACATCAGTTTTCATTTTCTTACTCCCAAGCTAATGAGTAGCCGAAGGATGAGTTTTCATTGGTGTTGAGATCATTGCCTGCCCTGTGGGAAACAATTAAATTTGTACAGCTCACATTATTCAAAGAAATGGATTCATATATACTCACTCGTGTGTTATATTATTTTCTCCATGTAGTTGAAACATTTCTCATAAAAAAATGAGAAAGTAAGTTCTTGGTGAAATATTAGAGTGATTTAAGTGGGTGAATTATGTCTATATCAAAAAATACTGTTGAATAAAGAAGCAGTTTATAGCATGATGTACTTATTGTGATATGATTGTAAACTTTAAAGTACTACAGAATTTCTGGGGCTTTAGGTACATGTATATAAAAGCATAAAGGACTAGAGGGAAAACTTTTATACCTCAGAAAAGATGACTATTATTATTTTATTAATAATTATTAATACTAAGTTCTGTTAAATTCAAGTCTGTTGTGCCAGGTAAACACATTATAATTATAGCTTTGAAACCTGCAACATTTACCTCATATAACATACTCGATTTTATCAGAACTTAATGAAATTTTAATGTTTTATAATGTATGTCAGTGTTTGGGGAAAAGATGTGGTTTTTAAAAATTATCTTGGGAAAAATGGCCAAAGATTAAGAAACAATGCACAGCATTATTTTGTGCCATGTATTAAAATTATAAAGGAAGCAAAAATTAAATATGAAAAAGTAACAGCACTGGTAAAATGATGTTATATAATCTTTGTGGAGGGAAGTTTTTCTAAGTATGTCCTCCAAATCAGAAATATTAAAGGAAAGGGTGATTTTGATTAAATGACAATTAAAAATTTCAATACTGGAGAGAATTTTATAATTAAAGCTAAAATCAAAGGAGAAATGGGGACATTTTTACAGTATATGTCAGAGACCATGGTTTTCTAGTCCTTATAAATGAATCTGTAAGAGAACAGACAGGCAAGGATGGTCCAAAAGGGTAGACAGCCTCTTGAATCTTTTTCCTCTTTCCTCGTTTGTAAACAGGTGACAGTTGCTGCCTCAAAGCCTTGTTTGAGTAAGTGCTCAGTGCTTCCTCCATCCTCCTGGTAAAAGTTGTGATGGAACATAACCTGTCTTCAAGCTGCATTCACCCTTATCTGTGGAGTTGTCTTCCCTCCTACTCCTATACCCCACCACCCTTGTAAGAAGAACTTTGATTTTCCCGTAAACTGATGTATAAAATTTAGGAAACTTGATCTGTTCAAGATAAAATGATCGTTGAATGTATAATATTATATTGGGAAGTCTGAAAGGTGGAATATAATCAAACTCCACTTAATTGAGGGCACTGTATATCTTAGAATTAAAAACAAGTTTCC